AAGTCCAAGTCGAGTTCCAAGTCTCTTTACATTTTGTCAAAAACAACAGGATGACACAACGGTGACAAAATTCAACAGTTCAACTCTAACTCTAGTTTCCGAGAACAGGGTTCCACTCCCAGAGGTTTTTGCCCCCAGTGTTATCGTTTGTGACGCAACAAAAGGCGGCCTGTTAAAATATAGACAAAATGGAAATGAAAATAAATTGGAAGAAGGAAGGGAAGAAGGAGAAAAAAAACGCAAAGCAAAATTCAACTCAAATCAAGTCAGTTGAAAGAAAACAGAATGTCATAAAAATGTGAGTTCTCTTTTAGGTGCAGCATAAAAGGGAAAACCTAAGTAAAGTAAACATCCACGAAAATGATTGTTGTTGTTTTGAGTAACTTTGGTTTTGGACTAATTTTTTTTTTTTTTCAATTATTTTCAGAAATGATCTCTTCAGGTTACTGAACATTTCTTTATTTATATACTGGGATAATTTTTAAAATTTTTTTTTTTTTACACGTTTAATATTCAAATGTTCTATTGCCGATTGGTAATCTTATCAGGTGCAGATCATTTTAAGACTTAAGTATCACAGTAGGATGAAGGTGTTCTCAGTTTATTCTATTTTTTTAAATCTGGCAGCCTTGACTGTTTTAAGCAAAAACAAAAACATTTCAAGCTCAGTTTTAGCTGAGGTACTTCTGTTACTTTAATTTCTACATTAACGCATCTGATAAGAAAAAAAAAAAAAAATTGTATTTATCCACAAGTCTGTCAACCTTAATCCCAACATTTTTGTTTACATTTGACCTCCAAAGCTGTGCACACTGAGTCTGGATCTGCATAATATTTTTTTTTTCTGTCATTTTTTTTTTTTTTTTTTTTTTTTTCTTTTTTTTTCCCCCCCGTGGTAGATGCTACAAACACAGACAGGATTGAGGGAGGAAACAGCCCCCTATGGTTCTCCACTTCTCTTGTTAGCGTTAGCGTAACGTCAGAGATACCTCAGATCCCAAGCTAACTATTTGGCGGTGCGCTAAGTTTTCTGAGACGGAGTGGAGGTGAACTGAGACGGTCTGCAGCGAGAGGCTGTGGCTTTGGTTTCTCTGAGGTTATGGTCACTCTCCCGTGGGAGAGTGGTTTGGTCTGGGCTGTTTACTTTGGAGTAACCCTCCCCCCCCTAACCCTCCAACCCCCCCTCTCCCTCCACACTATACACACTCTGCTTGGTAACCAGTGATCACCTACCATGGGTGCACACCTGTCATCTCTGACCTCCGCATGATTGAGATGCGTGTAGTTTAAATGAAGTTTAAATTTCATGAAATTTTTTTTTTTTTGTTTTTTTTAAAGGTTAAAATCCTCTGTTTCTTCTTCGCGTTGGAGTTGTGGACGTTGGACGTGCACCACCTCCTTTGTCACAGCAGGTGTATGTGAAAGGGTTGCGGGGAGGGCGGTTTGGGGAGGGTGCTAGGACCGCACTTAATGGGCCGAGGCTGCCTGTGTCGTGCCTGGATCATCATCTAAACAGGAGTTCCACTTTCTCTGGGTGCAGACAGACTGGCGCAGGTTCGCTCTCAGTGCTGGACTGGAAAAAAGCTTCACACCTCTCGCCTCACAGCTTCTTGAGCCACCAGAGGAGATGCTTTCAGCCTTTAGCTCCTCATGTGATCTGACTCTCCGGCACGAACTGAGAGGAGACCCATGAGCTGCTGCTGCTGCTGCTCTGTCTATCTTTATCTGCCTTTTAATTGGGACGCTGGGGAGAAATAAATAGCCCAACACACACTGTCGGGAGGCAAATGAATGGAGCAGAGCGACGGGGGGATTTCCCCACTCTGCCTTCACACCAATGGATCTGGACTTAAGTTTTGAAGTGGACAACTTCAGTTTGGCCAAATAGTTTTTCTTTGAAATACTCTTTACTTTTTTTTTTTTTTTTTTTTTGTGCGACAAGATCATCTGCAGAGAGCTTGAAAACGGAACACTGAGTGGATTTTCACCCTAATATAATTGACATAATGTAAGTTTTTCTTCGAGAGATAAATGGCTCCTAAAAACTTTTTGATTACATTTGTATATTGTTTAATGGTGATATTTGTGCGTCTCCTCCGTGTTCTTCAGATATATATTTGGCCGAAGGATGTGTTCAATTGTGCTGCTTCATCAGTGGAGTCTGGCTGTGTTCCTTCTCTGTTCCCCGGTGACTCTGGACGGCAGACCAGTCGACGCAGCCGGTGGCAGAACGTAAGTCACGTTATTATTTTTAATAACCGTAAAACGAATGGTGAAAAAATTAAACATAACTAAGCTTTAAAAATATGTATTTATATATTTTTTAATTATATGTGTAGACTTAAAGAAACAAATTTACACCCGTTTTATAATTTGAAAAGAAGAAACAAATTATTCCTAAATTGATTACGGAGGATTTATTTTTTTATTTTTTTTATTTTATTATGCAGATTTGTTTTTTAAAATGGCGTCTGGGAGTCTTTAAGCGCCTGCTTTTATAAAATTGCTTTTACTGCCATCTACTGGCCTGGCTTTTTAATTTCACTTGACCTTGGGTTTTCACTGCCAGTGCTTCTCTTACTGAAGGTTGTTGTTTTTAATTTAACTTAACGAAAGACTCATCAATTAGACATGTTTATCGTTGGCTTAGTGGGTGTATAAATGAATTTAAATATATCAATGTATCATTTAAAATGATAACTTATATGATAACATATATTATATATATATATATATGCAGATTTGTTTTTTAAAAACCTTTCATAGTTGTGGTCAAGAAAAAGTTTTCGAGTCAAAGAAGAAGAAAAATCGAAGTCATGTCTAAGTCAGAGAGGAGTTATGAGAGTCTTAGTGACTTAGTCACTAAAGGAAAAAAGTTTAAGTCAATTCCAGTCCAATCTCGAGGTGTGTGCGAGTCTGCGTTTAAGCTTGGTTAGCTTTCACTAAAGAAGAGGTCAAGAGGCGAGATGTAGAACTCTGAGGCCAAGAACGGTACGAACGGAGTCTTCGGTCATCGGTGTTTGAGCCAAAGTCCGAGTCCCTGAGAACTAACTGGAGCTGGACTAGTTAGAGCTCGTCATCTAGAAGCTACGTATCGGTTTTGTTTCTTGTACGACCCCCGTGACGCTCGGGTCGCACTTGATCACGTCACGTTTTCCTGTGACTTGGAATAACGGATCCCTCTGAGTGAATGTGATTTTATGGGACTGAACTTTTTTTTAAATTTTTTTTTTAATTTATTTTATTTAAGGAGGAGATCAGTGAGCCATGCCCAGCTGATGCACGACAAAGGGCGCTCCCTGCAGGAGTTCAAGCGTCGCCTGTGGCTGCAGGAGCTGCTGGAGGAGGTGCACACGGCCGACGACCAAGCGCCATCTGTGCAGAGCAAAACCTCAAGTCAGACCTACAGCGGGAATGCCCTTCACCAAAAGCCTCCAGGGGCCGCCAAAAACCTGCCCGGCAGGTTCAAGCTGGACAGGGAGGGCCCCAATCTGCCCCAGGAGACCAACAAGTCTCTGGCCTACAAGGACCAGCCGCTCAAAGTGGCCACCAAGAGGAAAAAGAAAGTGAGGTTGGGCCGACGCAGGGAGAGCGACAAGAGACGGAGACGCGCGCGCTCCGCCGCCAGCCTCACGAGGGACACAGTACCAAGTTGAAATAGAACCAGTATATTTTTTTTTAAACTACGTGGTACTGCACTAAGACGCTCACACAGTTCCAGCTGGACTGAGGACAGACTTGAACCACAGACGACTACGTCACGGTCACATGGAAGGAGCTGTGCTTTGTATGATAGTATTTTGTGTGTGTGTACAGTTCTGATCCCGTCTCTGTCGCCCCCGGAGATTCAACAGCGGGTTCTAACGTCTCCTGAATAAACGCAAAAAAAAAAACCAAAGAATTTCAGCTCAGCCTCAAAGTGGAGGGAATAACAATCCTGCCAATATTCGACCAGAAAATTCGATAACGGTTGTTCATTTGGAACGACCGGGAGCCGCAGTTTGAGCGTTCAAACAGTTTGGATTGAAGTGTCCTGCCGTAATTTATTTCACTTTGAGAGTGTATATTTATTTTGTGAATGTATCCTGGTGCTGCTGACTAAATTCCGTTGTGCACTTTAGTAATATCCTGTAAATGTTCACTTGTGGTCGACTTTTATTTTGATGACTCTTTGCTCTCCTTCCTTCCTACCCCGCCCCTCGCGGACCTGTAACTTATTGGATGCTACATCGAACCCACTCTCCTTTTTTTTTTTTTTTTTTTACACTATAGTTTATTTTTTATAGAACAAGCCCGAGCGGAGGGCTGCATCATTCATTTAATGTTCTACTCTTGCACTGAGAACATAATGTACATGTTTCCAGTTATTCAAACATTAAAGATATAGTCCCTTAGAAATCACTTGGATTCACGGTGTCTTTGTTCACCAGTCTTGTTTTTTTTTTTTTTTTTTTTTTCCGAAAAGACTGAGAAAAATGGACAGGCTCTAACTTTGAATCAATGTTGTTGTGTTTCTCAAGAAGAAGATTCCGGAACACATTTCTGACACCATGTTTCCTGCTGCTTTGTATTGTAGCTACAGCTCATCAGGTACAGCAGTGGTTCCTAATTATTTTCTGTCACGCCCCCTTGTGGACAGAAATGTTTTCACGCCCCCATCTCCCCAACCCAACCCAACTCACAACCCCCTACAAATTGAAATACTTTTGAGAACCTAATAACATGTATATATTTTTTTTATCTGTACAAACCACTGTATGAGTTGCTGCCACCTAGTGACTGGAGGCTTGTTATTAGCCAAACAAACGTTAAATCCTGTCAACAGGTGCGTAAATGTACCACCCATATATATATATATACAGATATA